AGGAAAAAAATAGATATCGCATTACTTCAGGAGTCTCATCTTTTATCACAAGACGTGCCCAGAATGGCCAATAAGCATTTTTATGTGGCAGCTTTTTCTGCAGCTGAGAGCAAAAATAATGGTACTTTAATACTTTTGCGTAGAACGTTGAATATAACAATACTTAATACAGGCTCAGACATATCTGGACGAATTGCACATCTTGAAGCAAATATCATGGGGAAATTCACATTTGTATCAGTGTACGCTCCCTCTATCTTTGATCCAGAATTTTTTTATTTTTTAACAAAATATCTGTTCAAATTTGAATATCCTTTGATTATAGGTGCTGACATGAAAGTGGTTTTTAATAATTTATTAGACCGCTTCAAAATGGCCAAAATGATATTCAATCTAGATCTTCTTTGGCAGTGATCAAGCTAGCTCTTCTAGACCTTTGGCGTGTCTTCAACCCCTCCTCAAGAGAAGATACTTGTTATTCAACGAGACACAAATCATCTCTGATCACCACCCAAATATTTCCAAATTAATTTGCTCTGGTCTTAAAGATTTTGTGGCTATCAATTATGGCTCAGTTACAGATCTACAAATTTTGTGGCAAGCAATTAAGGGATACATTAGGGTGAAATCCACTCTTTTCGCCTCACAACTAAACAAAACTGAACTAAAGGAAATTACAGTCCTAGAAAACAAAGTTGCCTCTCTTGTTCTTTCACTACAGACATCCTTTAATGAAATGGTTGCAGCTGAGCTTGAATTAGTTAAAGGGGAACTTAATTCTCTGCTTAGAAGGTGTTCAGAATTTCTCATGCGTAGAGTTAGACAATATTATTATTTTCATAGCAGTCACCCTAGCCATTTGTGGGCCCTTAAAATGCGCAATAGTGAACAATTTTCTGACATCCCTGTTATAAAATCACCCCAAGGTACTTTGGTTACAGATCCGCCCAGATTAATTCTATATTTCAGCAGTTTTATGCAGAGTTATACCAGTCTGAATCACAAATGGAATATAATGATCACATGAGTTACTTGAGGACTCTAAATTTACCATCTATCTAAAGAAGAAGCAGATATGCTCGGCCAGCCAGTAACATTAAATGAACTCAAAAAGCTCTACAAGCAATGAAGAAAGGGAAAGCTCCAGGCATGGACGGCATACCCCCAGAATTTTATTTGACATTCTTTTCCCAACTAGGTCCACCTCTGTTAGACATGATAAATACTGCAATAGAAACAGAGGGATGCAAATACAGCCATAATCTCTCTTCTTCTCAAACCACAAAAAACCCAACCTCCTGCAGCAGTTATCACCCCCTGTCTTTGATTGGATCAGATGTTAAATTATTTGCTAAGTGCTTGCAACACGCCTTGAAACATTTATGACTAAATTAGTTCAGCATGATCAGACAGGGTTCATTAAAAATTGACTTGCCTCTGACGATGTTTGTCGGCTGCTTCATATCCTTGATTGTGCACCTGATGTACTTACTCCATGTGCTGCTGTTTCTTTAGATGCAGAGAAAGCATTCGACAGACTTGACTGGGGCTTTTTATGGGCTGTACTGGACATAATGGGACTGGGTCTTAATTTCATTAAACTGGTTAAAACTCTATATGCCATCCCTTCAGCTATGGTAATAACAGGTAACAAATGCTCATCTCCATTTTTAGTTTCTTGTGGATCTAGACAAGGCTGTCCCTCCTCTCTTATTTGCTCTGTCACTCGAGCCCCTGTTCTATGATTCCGTTACCTCCTCCTGTAGGTTTCTGGGACAAACTTCACTCCAGTATTTCAGCTTATATATGGAAAGGCAAGAAACCTTGAATTAAACTCGCTACTCTTCAGTGTAATAAAACAGATGGAGGACTTTCTCTTCCTAATTTCAAATTATATTATTATTCCTTTGTTCTTCGTCCATTGTCAGTCTGGCTCAATTCAGATACTCAAACATCTTGGCGGCCTCTTGAGGAAAGTCTGGTTGCTCCACACAGATTACAAGATCCCATCTACTCGAATATTCCCATAAAGCAATGTAAACTGAGACATGGTCCTCTAATTAGTAATTTACTTTTAACATGGCGGGTTGTAGAAAAACTAACCAAAACCACAACTGTTTGGCACAAATGCTCCCCAATTTTTGACAACTATACATTACTTACTGCCAATAAGCCTTTCTTCTTTCCTCAATGGCAACAAAAGGGAATACATGTTCTGGATGACATCTTTAATGATTCAGGACTTCAGACATTCCAAGACTTGCTTGCATTTTACAGTATACCAGGTTTTTCTTTTTTTCTCTATCTTCACCTTCACACTGCCTTGAAGGCGTATGGTGTTCCTTGGGGCTGCACTTTACCCTTACACCCATTGCATAAACTGTTCGTTGCTGGCATGGGAACCAAAGGTTGGGTATCCAAAGTTTATCTTATTATACTACGTGCTGTATATAAACCTTTAGGTCTACAAACTATATGGGAAAAAGAGCTAAAAAGTGGCCAGGTTCAAATCAATTGGCATCCTATATGGAATAACATCACATCAGCCTCTAAAAATCCTAACCATCAGCTTATTCATTATAATTTTATCCACAGATTCTATTTAACCCCCTGCAGACGCTACCATATGCGTCTTACTCCATCTCCTCTTTGTACTTTTTGTTCTGATGGCACATATGGTACATTTTTACATATGTACTGGGAGTGTTTAAATGTGTGCAAGTTTTGGACTAAGGTTTCCTTTACATTATCAGACATTCTCAATGAAACCATTCCAAATAGAGTCCAAACTTTGCTTTTGATTGACGACTCTGAATTTAAATTGTGCTGAAAAGCGAATCTGGCTGGCTGGTCTCACAGCTGCAAAAAAATTGTTAGCCTTGCGCTGGCAACCTCCACATTCTCTGTGCTGGTGGCAATGGATCCTCACCTTTGTGGATATTATTAATATGGAACTTTCAACTGCAAGGATTCATGGAGCTAGCGGGAGCACGTTGAGCTCTTTGGAAAGAGCAGCTAAGAAAATTGGCAACTTATTGTGAAACCTGTTTTGTATTACTTGATATGTCATAGAGATTATTCATTTAATTATTTTTTCTATATTATTTTCTTCTTTGATCAGCGGTGCGTTTATGGGTGCTACGTGGGGGGGGGGAGTTGGGGGTGGTTGGATGCTTCATTTTGTATGTCTTTTGTTGCTTACTGTATTTTGTATTACATTTGAGCACTATCTTAGAAATAAAAACATTTGATTGCAAAAAAAAGAATTATAAACAAGTAAACAAATTACTTAATAACAGTAATCTCTATTATCAGCCAGTTTTTAAAATGACTGGAAATGTAAAAAAGTCATATGAGAGATTAGCAGCCCTTTAAAAGTGTCGTCATGCTGTGATTCCTTACTGATTGGTTGTTGTGATAAGGCAAGTTATCATATCTCTTCTTTCTGCTGCCCAGTCAGAAAAACCAGTGTTACCCACCATCACTTGGGGCTCCTTTCATCATTTTCAGGCTGATGATGCTCCTCAGGAGAAACATAGTTAGTGGAATTTGGAACATGGCTCATCCCAAATTCACCATCCTCAGAGCTGAGTCTCACAGAATCAGGCTGTAACCAAAAGGTTAATAAACATGAACTCTTTATTAAAAGGCTCGTTTTGTTTTGTCTTTGATGTCCACTTCTGATGTTTATGAGGCCTTTTTCCAAACATCTACATCCAGATTAGATAGTCTCCTAATGACAAACTGCTCTTGGTTCAGCATTATAAACACTCTCTGTCTCTTATGGCCAAACTGCCCTGAGAACCCCGACCTCGTCTGTTCTCGGAAGCTGAGCAGGGTCGGACCTGGTTAGCACTTGGATGGGAGGCCGCCTGGGAGCACCAGGTGCTGTAAGCTTTTTCACACTGAAGCACACACTTTCGTTTATTTCTCTTCTTCTCATTTCTCTTATCGTTTGTCATTTACAGGTCTTTCCGTTACAGTAGTGCATTCACAGTGTGAGATAAAAAAATAAGCCCTGGTAATGTAATCAGTCAACTACCTGGCCAGCATTAGAGCCCTTTTCTTTCCACAGTGTAATTTCTGTGAAGTGTCATTTATTATTCTGAGCTGTTTATGAATTAGAAATAAAATCTATCACATTTACGGCATGTAATTTCTCTGATAACAGACATAGTTCCTATACAGATTAATGATAAATCCTTTATTAGTCCCACAGTGGGGAAATTCTCAGTGCTCCAGCAGCAAAGGGAGAGCAGAGCACTGCAGAAAAGAGTAACAAGAAGAGAATTAATAAGCAAGTAATTAACCTTATTAATTACTTAGCCAGGTTACAGTTTGTTACTTGTTACTATATAGACAATGTTTATATATTACTAACAGTAAATAATACAATATAAAAATATAAACTCTACCCTTCACAAAAAATTAACGACATAAAGGATTATAAATAAATAAAAGCTAAAATATTTACACTGTAAAGATATTTTACCTGAATTGCACACAGAGTTTTGAACATGAGGTACTGGTTTATGTTACACATGGGTTGGTGAGGAGTGAACAATATAAACATTATAAATAGAAAAGCAAAAAATCTTTACACTATAGAGATATTTTAAAAATATTGCACATGGAGTGTTGATTATATTGCACACAGTAAGTGGTGATGAATTCACAGTTTATGTTCAGTAGGTGTGTGCGGTCTAATGGGGGTGGAGGAGGTTCTACTAGGAGCAGTGCTGGTTTTACAGTCTAACAGCAGCAGGAAGGAGAACCTGCGATGGCCTCCTTCACTCACTCGGGGTGATTATGAGATCAGTACTTTTTAATACTGTGATGAAAATTCTCACATGGAAATTAAGGGTTGAAGTTGAGGCTCATTGTTGGATTTGTATCGGTGCATAATTTAATCTTAAATGACTGGGATGTAGTGGTTTCATTCTGACACTTGGGGGCGATGGTGAGCACATGTGCATTTATGAAGGATCCAAAGAAGCACAGGTAAATATTTCAAGAAGGGCGCTTAGATTTGTTTTTGCTCGAACTGTGCAATGAAACCTGTAAATGACAAGAAACCTCTGGACATCCTTCATAAAGTCTGCCTAAATCCAGCGGTGCTTAAAGAGGCCTTTGAGACAGACTGTAAGTTTGACTTGGACAGAAGCTTTTATTTTCATATTCAGCTCTTTATTTGAGAAAATTTCGGTTCTGTTTTACACGCTGCGGCTTTGTAGTGAGTTTTTCAGGTCACAGTTTTATCACATCTTTTTCTGAACTTCGTGGATAAACATTTATTCTGAAGCTGTAAAGTGATGGTCAAGTCTGTGGATAAAATGACAGACAGTTCAGTCCCTCTACAAGAGGAAAGGGCAATAAAGTGATCTAAACCAGCTCAGATATTTTGCCTCCCAGTCGTGTTTCAGATCAGTCAGAGTACATCAAACGTTTGATTTTTCTGACCTGAGCATAGTGTAGTAGTGCATACTGGTCAGCAACTCAATCTGAATGGACTTCTCCAACAGCCAATAAAAACTGAGAGTGTGAAAAAAGAAAAAATACAGCAAGTAAATAAAAAATTAGAGACTCATGTAGCGAAGCTTTATAATGAACTGAGTTTAAGGCACAGCATGAATATCTGAAACTACCACACTAATCACATCTTTTCATCCATGATCTTCACCTAAATATGTTTACCTGTTAGTTCTTTACTGTGTCTGCAGAACGACACATGACTTCACAGGTCTTCGACCGAACAATCGCATTGCCAGCACAAATTAATTTTGCCACCTATGATCTGAAAGCAGGTAGTAGGTAGTGCACAGTTTGCTATTTTGAACACAGTCATGGTTTGTCCCCCCCTCAGTTAAGCAGTTATGAACACACTTACAACTCGAGTCTTTCCCATTTATGCTCAAATGCACTTTAATGGCCGAGTGCAAAGAAGTGGTTTTAGTCTCTGTTGAAGAGAAACCTGGTCCTGGAGACTAATCACAGAGTTTAGCACCAAACCTAATCACTAACGAAGGCCTTCAGAGGCACCTGAATATTAGAGCTGAGTATGTCTGATATGATCTCTCCAGGGTGACAGGTCTCCAGGAGCAGGACTGGGACCCCATCTAGTCAGGATATCAGTGTGTCTGGGTAGAAAGTGATGAGGTGATATAAGGCGGAGTTATCAGTCCTTGAAGGCTGCTGTCCAGCGCAAGTTAGTGATTTTCCTGCTAAAAACCCACCTGATTAATCTTACCTGTTAATTACCAGGTTGAGTGTCTGTATCTGAACAGTGAAATCATCATACTGTGCTGAAGGTCTGAATAGCCCTGGTGTGGATGAAGATTTAATGCATCTGTACTATGTTACCTTTCTCTCAGAGACAAATAGCGATCATATTGGGTAGACTTGTTTTGACTCAGGATAAAATGTGATGTGCTTTGTTTAAGATTGACATCCTATTATATTTAAACCACCAGAGGGCACCAAAAAAGATACAAATCACTGTCAACTGCAAGTATCCAGACCAGTATTCCCAAAGACATCAAAGATCCTTTCTATCTTCATGATCAAAAAAATGATCCCACATCAATTAGTGATTTGTAAGTTTTTAGTGTCATGATCAATCAGTACCACTCAACCAAGGTTTCAGTACTGGTATTGATATCAGACAACAAAGGTGGTATCATGCCACCTGTAGCTGTCTTGTTACTGTGACCCATTGTATAACAGAAGCCCTAGAAATGAACAGTAAAGCTTTTTTTTGACACGGCTCAATATATAATACATACATATATATATATATATATATATATATATATATATATATATATATATATATATATAAAAAGAATAGTAGTTTTGCGAATATAGATTCTGAAACAGAAATGTAATATCCCCTCCCATCCACTAGAGGTCAGCAGAATCCATTCCATTGTGTTTTGCTTTATGTTCCCTTATCTACAGTGACACAAGTTCATATCATTACTAAATATCTTTAATAAGATTCTAGCCATCTTCTATGATACTGATGTATATATGAGGAAATCTTTCCTTTGATCTTCCTTGTTAAGATATATTTCAAGTTATAAAGTATATTTTACATCAACTATTCTATGTATCCAGGTCAGTGTAGCCTAACATGTTCCACCTCCTCTTCCCGTTCTGTACATGGTACTGTTGTGTCCAGTTTTGATACTTTCTCTCTCAAAGATCTTATAAAGGTTTCGTTCTCCCTGCTGTTCTCTGAATCCATAAAACTCCTGCCATTGCTTTTGCTATTTTCTCATCATTGATATTTTGCCTGAGCCCTGATTTAGACAGACTGACCGTCATGTAGATATTTACTGGTTGTGGTTTATTTATCTGCCATCTCATTTGCCCTTATTCTTATCTGACACCCAGAGAAACTGAACCCTCAGTCCCATCATTTGTTCTAAATAATAGCTCTTGGATATTAATTAGAATGTATTTCCTACTTTCTGAATATGAGTGTTCAGAACTCATCAGTGATGAAGATAAATCAGAACAGACAAGTTCTCTTAGTGCTCTGATTCCTTCTGCTCACTCCAGAGCCAGTAAGACAGCGACCGTCTCCCCTGTATATGGAAAAGTCACTAATTCTATTTGGACATTGAAGACAGAATTCTGCCTCTGTGAGTGCTGCCCTGTCCTGCCATCTGTTCGCTAGATGCAAATGTACATATTTAAACATATATACAGTATATTTTCGGTAGTTGAGCTCACATATTGATCAGTTATGATCAGTTCTTTGTCTTTCTTTTTCTCTCTAACAATTTACGTTAGTATTTGTATTAATCAGTGAAAACCAACAGCTTGTCTGATAAGAATAATCATGGGAATTAAGTCTGGTTGACTATAGCGTGAGCCATGAGAACATGTTAATATGACCAGGTAAGGAACGCAACACAGTGAGAGGTGTACAACGTACTCTTGCATACACTGCGCAGAACGTCTAGGACTGATTAAGAACGTCACTGATCAGCCGTCACCAGCACAACATAGACACAGTCATTTCTAAGGAGTGATTATAAATTTAATTGAGCTACACAAATGATATCAGCCAGATCTTGGAATAAACACTGCCTGGCCGGCCGCTTCATTAAGCACACCTTGTATCTACACTTTTTGTCCATTTTATCAGCTCCACTTACTATATAGGTGCACTTTGTAGTTCTACAGTTACAGACTGTAGTCCATCTGTTTCTCTGCTTGATTTGTCAGCCCCCTTTTACCCTGTTCTTCGGTCACCGCAGGCATTGTTTGGGTGGTGGATCATGTTAGTTTGTGTTGGGCTAGTATGAGTGGATCAGACACAGCAGTGTTGGTGGAGTTTTTAAACACTGTGTCCACTCACTGTCCACTCTATTAGACACTCCTACCTTGTCGGTCTGAGACAGTAGTTCATCTGTGTAAAGTTTGTGTTAATCATCATCTCAGTCCAGCAGCGACATAGAGGTGTTTAACACTCCAGCAGCACTGCTGTGTCTGATCCACTCAGACCAGTGCAACACACACTAACACACCACCACCACGTTAGTGTTACTGCAGTGCTGAGAATGATCCACCACCCAAATAGTACCTGCTCTGTGGTGTAGAACAGGGTAAAAGGGAGCTAATACAGTAAGTCAACCTGATAAAATGGACAGTGAGTGTAGATACAAAAAGGTGTGCTTATTGAAGTGGCTGGTGTGTTATTGTTAGCTGAAACCAAAAGTCAGCACTTAAGTTCATTAAGCAAACTTTAATAGGTTAAAGTCAAAACCTCACTGAATTAAATTAATCAGTCCTCAACAAGCAGAGGAGAATATTTTACTGCATGTATTTTTAATACAGGCAAACTAATAAGTTACATTAAGCATCTGTGTTTTCATGCATCAGAATGTGTAGGATAATAAATTCATATCAAGTATTTACATGCGGCTCTGACCTTTTATCCAGTAATAGTTTATTGAAAGTTCTTGGCCACTTTACTAAAATTAGTTTGGGTCAGACGCCCCCCCCCCGACCCACCTCAAACAGAAATACATGCTGTGTTTGTGTGCACCAAATACTGAGTCCAAATAATTCCCAGACCTCAAGGACTTTAAACCTGTAATTCTTACACTGTGCAACACTTTGCTGTGAAAAAAAAAAAAAATGCAGATTTTTATTTTTCTACATCATTTGAACACAGCGGCTCTCCTTTACCTCGAGTGAAAATTTCATGATGAATGAACCAACAGACAAGATCTAAAATCATTTGAAATGAAACCTCTTTACATTAACTTACATTAATTAAAAGTTAGGAATAATATTTTGGATTCTCCTGTAAAGTTATTATTTTGGAGACCCATGTTTTTCTTTGGACAGTAACAATATCTTAATGATATTTTCTCTTCCATCCAGAACAATAAATACTTTTAGTCTAATGACTATAATAACTTTTACTACAGTGACTGTAACATTGCTTTGTTTAGCTGCTGTGATGACAGAAGAATGTGTACGAAACAGATATTTCAGTGGTTTATCAGAGCTTTACTATACAACAGTGGAAAAATCATATTGCATGAGCATTTATCAGCAATGATGCTGTGTGCAAGTTGGACTTGGACTCTTCTCTGAATGGATTATTTTTAATGAAACTTTTCTTCCCACAGGAACGACAAGAGGAGGCAGATTTAGTAAAGAATGTCTTCTTGGAAGGCTTTATGGCATTTGGAGGAGGCAAAACCCAAAGCCCAATGCCCAGCAAGGTCAGAAAAACTCTCTGGATGTCTCTTCTCAAAATAATCCTCATGCTGTGGAAAGTTGGGCCGACAGATATGAACACTTTTTGTCCAGTATGAAACCAGCTTTAAGAGGCTAAACGTTCAGACAAATCATAATATCAACAGTTATGATTTTGTATTTATATTTTAGATTTTAGTTTTAGACTCCAGTAGTTTTAGGTAAACAGTGCATGACATGCTGGCCGATGCTAAATGGTCACACTTTTTAACCTCAAATAAGCAGCAGGAAGTCACAGTTTTAAAGAATATATTGTTGTGTTCAACTTTCAGTGGGAAGATCAGAATTGTGTCATTTTACACCACTTTCGATCTACAAAGTGGGACAACATGAAATGAAACCGAGGACTGTTAGCAACACACTAGCCAGCTAATGTGTGACTACAACATTCATGATTTAACGTTCTCAAAACGGTGAAGTTTGTGGTCACTTTTATAGTTTAAACAACTTCTGTACTTTGCAAAAAAAAAACTAAAGTATCGCCAACAAAGTTAAATACACTCCTAAAAAAGACTGTGCTTCAAGGGTTCTTTAGTATTCTAGTATTCTATTCTGTATAGCACCCAAAAGGGTTCTTCTATTGTTACAAGCTTGGAACCGTAACAATAGAAGAACCCTTTTTGGTGCTATATAAAACCATTTTCAAAAAGGTTCTATATAGAACCATCTACAGCACATTCTCCATCAATCTGAAGAGCTCTTTCATGATGCAAAGAACCCTTTAATAATGCAAAGCGTTAGTGTTTATGGTTCTATATAGAACTTTCTTCTGTACTAAAGAACCCTTCTTTTTTAAGAGTGTACTTATGTTATGTTGGAACCACTCATTTGTACTAAATCACTACTAATGTGCACATTAGTAATGATTTAGTGTATATAGTCCCAGTATGTAATTCGTATATTTGCAAATACAGACAAGTATATTTATCTTTCAGTATACTGAACCAACAGCAACAGCAAAAGAACATATACATAAACATGTACTGTAAGTATTTACTAAGGTGTGCTAAAATGCATGTTTACCATTTTATGTCATAATCTGCTAATATATAAGTATTTTACCTGTAATACACTGTAACAGTATTTGCAGTAATATATATGTTACCTTCCAACACTACCTAAGTGTACTGGAAATATAGTTCAAGTGTACAACCACCGTATTTGAATGACCATTATTTAAGATGTCATGATGGTAAATTTTTCATGTCTATAAATATTATACTTAATGTATTAACAGTAATGCAATTACTGCATTAACAACACATACATAATATTTCTTCATAACTCTGGGTAATTCACTTAATGTATTTATGTAATACATGATATGATTTTTTTAAGAGTGCTCCATTTTTTTCTCAAAGTTAAAAGTTAAACACACAGTGTTTCAAACACAGTCAGCAGTTTTTGACTAGTAAAACTCCTCTGCTGTCAGAACATCATCAGGGCTGAGGTGCCTTGACAAATGTTAAATGCGTCCAGTGTCTTTAAGTGTCTTTGGCACAGTTGGTCCTGGTGCTGTGCTGGACAGTCATGTTGTCCATATTTCATGAGGTCTTTTTTCTACAAAGGACAGTGCTGCAAAATCTACATCACTGCTAGGGTTTTAGAGGGAGAGACAAAAGAGAAAAGGATATAAAACTCTATTGTTTGTATTCAGGTGTGCAAATATGTAATCGAATCAGAAGCACAGAGCAGAAAAGACCTGCATGGTAAGAAGTGAATATACTAAAGAAATGTTCACACTACAGGATGTTTGTCTCCAGTATTGCACACAGGAGCCAAGAGTTCGAGGAGCCACATCACACTGCTAAATACTACTAGTGCAGAACACTGAGCTACGTTTTAAAAGTGAAAAAGTGGCAAAATTGGCTAACACCATGCCAAAGTAGCAAAACATACTGTAGTGAAGGAGAGTTTTAATGAACGTAAGAAACACAGACAGCTCGGTCAGGAGAGTTAGAGGGGTGGACCAAATGGCTCTGACCACACTTGATATATAACTGGTCACCACGGCTGCCAAGCCAGATTTTCCTGTATTTTCCCAAATTTCCTGAATAAAATAGCTCTACTCACCTTTCTGGGAGTAACTGGTGAGATCAGGGCACATTTCCTCCCCTCTGTAGAGAGAGTAAAGAGTAAAAAAATAGTTGGTGTGACCTTTTACCACGTATTTGTGCAGTTATTCACGTCCTGTTTTGGTGAAACATTTCCAGTAAGTTAATGAAGTCAGAGCTCAGTTGCAGCTATTAGTGTTCAATAAAGTACATGAAATCCATCAGGAATCAATTTTCATCTTTCAATCAGAAACTCAGTCAATATAAGAACTTCCAAAAGCTCATATAATTTAAATAGCCTCTTAACTTACTCAACTTAAAAATGTGAAATTATCTACTAAGGTTCTTTAACTGTGGGTTATTTTTTGATAATTCAATATAATTTTGTGTTCATGTTCTTTGGAACCCCGAAAGTAGTCTTAGCTGCCCCTGGACACCCCATTCACGCAGTCCTAGAAACGAAACTCCATTCAGCCCCGAAACTTTAGGCCACTAATTCCGAATGTGAACAAATGCCAGACTGTCTGATTACTTTACCCAAACTATATGAACTGCTGCCATTTCATGTCTCTGTGTAGCGCAAAACAGTGTTAAAGGTTTTAGTCCATAACGTTACACAAGCACCATCCTTACTAGCAGGAAATTTACATAAATATAAGTTATTTGAAACATATATATCTCATTACTGAAGAAGGGCAGAACATGTGCCCTTGTTTATATGTGTACATGTTGGAGTATTGAATAAAAAACTTCATGAAAACGTCAAGAAAAGCGTGTACAGTTTCTAGAGGTGGATACTGTTTTTGAAAACACAACTTGAATAGGAGGAGTAAAAGATTTCAGTATAACTCAAAAAGAACTTCCAAAAGCCTTATTATAATTGGGTAATAATTGCAGGTGCAGTTTTCTTTATAAGACCCTTGTGGTCTAAAATAAAGAGATAAAACTCGACAGTGAGAGGTGTGAGAGGCCAAAGGGGAACAGAGGCTGAACCAACAGACTGAAAAACAGATTGTTTTCTTCACACATGAAAACTGAGTAACTGTCATTTGAGTTTCCTCAAAAAATTGCAAACCCATACATTTTTAAGTACATAAAGCTGAGTAAATGTTTAATAACACTCTTACTGTAACAGACAAGGAAAATTCAAATTCAGAGTCCAGAGATGTCAGCAGACTTCCACTGTGCACAGTACAGTCTTAATATGCGTTTGTGGATGCAGCGACAGTGTTTATCAAAATGGGTTTTTCGAAATATTCCTGAGCCCTGAGCCAATTCTACATGCCGATAGGTTTTATTGTGCTTAACAAGGACATGTTCCAAATATTCTGTATAGATATACAGAGTTGATGTTAGTGAGTTAAACGTGACAAAGTCAGTGGCGTACTGGAGATGATGCTTTGGGTAAACTAGAGTTAATTAGTACACATTATTAAAGTTTCCAGAGTAAGTAACATTGCCATATGCTTGGCATAAGCTGATCCTAGACCAGGGATGATGATATGTCGCCCCTGAGCACAGTGGTGGTGGGGCTGATATGTTAAGATATGTTAACATATGTTAAGATATGTTAAGTCAGGTGTATTTGGGCAATTATAAAACTAAGCTGGCTTTTCCAGAAGTGGAGACTCCTGTCGTGGATCTCCTGTTCGTGGTTAGAATTTTAGGGAGACATCCATGTTCATATTGTTCAGTATGACCCTTTTTAAAGGGCACAAACTGAAGGACCCCAAGGTTCCCCTCTGGCTGTGCAGCGGAGAATGTCAATGGCTTTAAGCAATTTGGATCATAGATAGCCCCGAAAGCAAAAACTTCAGATGAAACTGAAGCCATAGTGAACATTTCAGTTGTAGATTTGCTCTGAATTCCACATGCTGTTATATAGCGTATGATAATAGGCCTGTATGTACATGTATTTACACACAGTGCCTTCATTTTAAAAGTGGTAGTTAATTAGAGTAATGCTAACCGAGGAGGGTGGGTTACAGTGCGTTGGAAGTGTTTACCCTCCTCGAATGTTGTCCTCCCATGTTACCCCCTTCCTGAGGTTTGTGTTGGGGTAGCACTGGGCTGGACATTTCTTGCTGCCTGTGAAAGTGCCTGTTCAAAATAAAAGAGCATTTGCCTGTATGCACAATGTTTTTTGCGTTTTCTACTATTAAGCCCATTTCACACCAGCTGTGACGTGGTGCGCATGCTAATCTGGAACCACTCCATAACGCTTGGTGTTTCACCCTGGACGCGACACACACGTTGCAAAGCAAGAGCAGTTGCTGTTTGTGTTGCATTTTCACGTAATATAAATGTCTGCATTGGCCGTTTATCTCATATAAACTTCATGTTGACGACATAAAGAGATCAACAGTAAAAAATTGCTGGCTTTCTCACCAGGTGGTGTAGCTCTATATGAAGAGGAGGAGGAGATTTCAGTCAACCTGTCAAAGAGTCAAAACTAGATTTGTTGATTTGTTTTTTTAGCCTAGATTGTATATTATAGCATAGACATTGCAACTGTTTCTGCATAGAAACTGCTAGCATGCTGTGCGCGGCACGTAGCAGAAATAGGCCCAAAGTGTATTTTTGCACATGATGCGCACAGCCGGTGTGAAAGGCTACATTGATTAATATAGGAGCGCATTGCACGCTGCACTGCGTGGCGCGGTTACCGAGTCTGGTGTGAAATGGGATGTAGAATAGTGTGTTAGTGTTATATAATTTTAGTAATCAAGTAGACTAATTAATAAGTATAAGGTTCAAGAGGTCAGACGATTAATCATGAGGACTCTCCTACTCATTGACCTACCAATGACAAACATGCCATAATATGTAGTAAAACTCATGTAGTACTCATGTTTTTTATTATTCAACAGACTCTAGTATTATTTTATCAGTTATGATTATCTGTCCTCCCT